TCGCTTCGCCGGCGAAAAGGCTCGGTCGTGACCGACGACAAGAAGAGGGCGCAAGGTGAGCAGATGACGACCCAGCTAAGGCCAATTGCAGCAAACCCAGCCTCGTCCATGAGCCAAGCCCGCGTCCCAACCGTCACCGAAAGCACCTGGACGCCGGCGTCCTCCGAGGGAGCGAATCCGATGGCCGACGCACGAGCCTGAACCAGACTTCAGCAACAGAGATGAGAGCTGCCCTTCCATGGACGAGCGACGGAGGCCGTCCTCCAACAGACCCTGACGTCCGGCGAGGGAGAAATGACCGGCGAAATTGAAGGGTTTGAGTGGCTAGGGTTTCAGAGATTTCGGAACGGGATGAGAGCAGCTTCCTATCACATATTCTCATATAAATAGACGACTCCATCCATAAAATATAAAATACATATACCTTTAATATACAAAAAAAAAATACATATGCCATTAATAAAAACTATCAATTTTCACGGTGTGTTTCAATGAACCTTAAACTTAATAAAGAAAGAAAAAAAGATATAGTTTTTCATGAAAGACATGTTTTTCATTACAATATATACTGAATATATACTAACATAAACGCAAGAATTATCTACTTGGACAACTGCGTAAAATAATACATGTTTTTCTCTCTCTCTATTAAAAATGTACAAGCCGCGAGAATTAAGAAATTAAAAGAGTTAGTTATTTATTGTATACATGTTTTTAATTTCTCTCTCTTAATCAAACACATAAAAAGAGGATGTAGGTTGAAAGGAAATGGTAACTGACTTTAGACATTAATGTAGTTATTTAGTATCTATTAGGTAGTGATATAATTATTTGTTTACGAAGTGTATTTTGCTTTCAGAATCTTGCACGATAGATGAAAATTTCCCACGGGTCGATTATTGATGAACCATTAGGGATGAAAACGATCGGAATCGATCGGCATAGGGCTCAACCATTTCCACTTTCATATTTTTTTCTCAAAAACGAAAATGATACGGTAATGTCGGAAACGAAAACGACATCGGTATTCCGGTAATATAAAAAACGAAACTATCCGATCGAAAATACATCAATAACGATTGAAATATATTAAAACGGCATTTAAAAAACGATAAACACACCACATTATAAAATATAGCATTAAAACATTAATTGAGATATCTCATGGCATAATAGCAGCAAAATCCAAATTAAAATCCACACCAATTGCTATAACAAATTCCAATAACTAGCAATTGAATTGTGACTTGTCCACCAAAGTGGGGTAGGCGGCGGCAGCTGGAGCCTGTAGCGGCTGGTGCGGTTGCGACGTTGATGGGAGTGGGGCGCGGCAGCGGCGAGCAGGTGACGGGAGTGACGATGAGCAGGTATGGCGAATTGTGATGGCCGTCGGCCAATGGAAAAGATGACAGACTCCCAGACGAGACTCGAGAGTGAAGACCGAACGGGATGAAGGGGATTTGGGCATTGTAGATGCGGTTGCGACGGTGATGGGAGTGGGGCGCGGCGGCGAAGAGCAAGTGACGAGAGTGGCGACAAGCAGACGACGAGCAGATGGGAGAGACGACAAACTCCCAGACGAGACTCGAGAGTGAAGATCGAAAGGGATGAAAGGGATTTCAGGATTTGGGCACTGTAGAAGGGTTGGGCTGAAGGAGATTTGGGCATTTGGCCCATTTGGGATTTGGATTGGGCTTTATAATTAAAAGTGAGCCTAGTATGGGTTGGGCCGGTATTACTGACGGTAAAATACCGTTTAAATACGGTAATTTTCGAAAACGATCGGAAAAGGGCTAAACCGTTTTCATTTTCATTTTCGAATTTTTTTACCGTTTCCATTTCCGTTTTTCTGGTTACCATTTCCGTTTCCGTTTAGCCTCCAAATCTGAAAAAATTTCGAAAACGATTCTCGGTAATCGGAAATTACTGTTTCCATTTTCATCCCTATGAACCATGATACTTTGGAAAGTTGTTGGGTTAGGGGAAATGCAGGACCCATTAAGAAACGCAGGTCCAGAAAAAAAGTACGGCCCAATAATTCTCGTCGTAGAGAAGAGAAGTAGCTGCAGCACCTAGTGGAAAAGAGGGTCGAGCCGTAGAAAGAAAGCTGAAGGAATGGATGCAGCGTATTCATGGCTACGACGAAGTGTTTCCAGCCTCAGAAAGACGACTTCACCCTCCTCAACCACCACCATCGCCACCTACGCCGCGGCTCCGTATTCTAATCGGAGCTCCGAGAACAAATTACAGGAAGAGAATGAGGAAGAGGAGAAAACCTACGGAATAACTGATCAATTGATAGATTTCGTCAAGTCCTTCACTCTTGAAACCTTCAATAACTTCTCACTTCCTGGTATTGCTCTATCTTTT